TTCCTCTCCCCTTTAACACCTCTTTTGTGTTTTAAAGATTTCTAAAATTTCCAGAATTTCTAAATTTGCTTCTTTTCTTAAAACTCAATCCCAATTTTAACCATTTGAACTAAAAGGGAGTAATTTTGCCTTCAAAGAACCTTTTTCTATAGCAACATTTTTTTATTTTATTGCAAGTTCCTGGTCAAAAGCAGCTCATTTTTGTTGGGAAAAAAGTCTTTTGTTACAATCCAAACAAATTCAAATTCCTTTTCAATCCAGTATTTAATTTCTGAATGCTTACTTTCTCCTTTTTTTTTTTTTTTTTGCTTTTTCCCTTCTTATTTCTCTTTCCTATTTCTAAAATGCAAATAATTGTTGGAAATCCTCTTCTGAGTCACTTCTACTGTTGCTTATAACAGCCCGAAGGATGGTCCCAGCCGTGTTCCCCTCACCAGGGAAGGAGCCTGCAGAGTGTCTCAGACCTCCTCCCATGTTCCTGACTCCCTGTGGGTACCTATTCAGCTGCATCAAAATCACAGGACAGACACAGCCACAGGGCTAGGGCGACTGAAAAACTCATAGCAAATCCAGCCTTGGGTTGATAGGACCCCAAAAGGACTGTGGCTGTTTTATGAAACATATGAGGAGTCATCAAGGCATAGGAGCATCACTTGGGGTGCCCAAAGTGCTGCACTGCCTCAGATCGAGGACCACCTCGCAAGCAGTGTGTCTTATATTCTCTGCGTATTTATTACACAAATGACATACTTAAATATTTCCATTCACAACAAGATGTATGTGCAGCTCTTGAACCCACTCTCTACTGTCTTTGCTGTGGTGAAGCTCTTCACTGTCTCCATCTGGCAGGAACCAGGTCCAACTACAGGGGGATATGTGGATTTGGGGTGATGGACAGGAGCTGCTTCCACTCACCCTGTGCCTCCTCTCCTTCCTCCCGTGCTCCCCATAGCAACTGTGGAACAGAAACTTGTCTGTCTCTCATGGCCCATCTGTGACCAAGGCATCCTCCAAGTGAGCTGCATCTTCCCCCACTGCTCTTACAAGTTGCAAAGCAGACTGCTGGTGTCTCTTTATGGATTTATTGATCAACAGCAGCATTTTACATAAATGAAGCCCAGTTACCTTTGAGAGCAGAAATAACTTTGGGTTAAGGTGTCATTCAGTGTTGTGGGTATATGGCAATTTTTATTTGGGGGTTGCTTTCCATCATGTGAGCATCTGACATTTTATTTGCATTTCTAGAGGGCTTTAGTCCTGGGTTTCTGTTTAAAGCTAGGAAAGACAGAGAGCACCAGGGCTGGCAGGAGCTCAGATTTCCCTGGGAAGCACACCCTGAGTTGGGAGATTATTATTGACCACAGGAGCAGCACAGGGACGGGGATTTAAAGCAGTGCCTGGTTTTTCACATCAAGAGTGAAAAAAAATGGGGAAACCAAGAAGCAAATGAGATGGACATACTCCTATCCCCAGATTTTCAGACTGAGATGTTTATAAGCCAACAAGTTTCCAGGCACGATGCATGCAGCAGAGTAATGTTCAGCCGGAGATCAAACAAAGTGACCTCCTCTGCCTTTAAAATGTGTGAAGCTGCAAGATCTTAAGGGCAAATAAACTTCCTTTAATTGTAGGGCTGAGATCTTGGAAGTCACATTCCTTTAATTTCCTTGAGCTGGTTGCTTTCCCTATGAAGGACATGCAGAGAGTGGTGAGTTTTCAATGGAAACTGGTTTTGCCTCATTTTCCACTTCTCTCCTGTTACAAGGAAAGAAGTGCCGAGCTCCGGAGGCCTGCCTGCCTGCCTTCCTATGCAGACAGAAAGGGCTGGGTGTCTGTGTTTAATTACAGCCTGAAAGAACTGCATTTAAAAGACAACAGCAAGCTATTTAATTAATACTTATCATTAGCACACATAGGAATGCCTAGCAGCAAATTGCAACAACAAAGCAATTCCTTTTTTTGGTTTTTTCCTTACACTTGGGATAAATTAATTTTTCTTTAAAGAGTCAACAAATGATTTGCACCCAGTTTGAGATGACTTTTTATGGAGTGAGAGTACTGAGATAGTAGGTATCACCCTAGGAGCGCAGCGATCTCTAAGAGCAGGCTTCTCAGTCTCCAGTTTTTCAGTCTCCAGCTCTCCTGGCCAAGAAGCTTATCTTCATCCATCCATCTATCTGTCTTTCTATCTTGGCATTTACACTGGGCTCATCCCCATGTCTGAGCGCCTACTTGTCTTCATACCTGTCCATAAATTACATGGTGCCCCCAGGGCATTATAAATAATAATTCAACTCCCAAACCTTCAGAACACTGTTTTAAAGCATTGGTTTATAATTCACCAAGCTATGGACTCCTCCTTCCAGCCCATAAATGTAACACTGGAGTAGAAGGACGTGACAACCTGGTAAGTGGATTAGTTGCCTCAAAATCAGTTCCTTGGGTGAGAGGGGTGGGCTGGGTGGCCGCAAGTTGGAAGATGAGGATGGGCATTGTGGCAAAGCATAGGGAATGCTAGACTGCGCTGCTCATGGGAAATAGCATCCTCATCCACAGCCCATTCTGGATTTTTTATTCCTCTCCATTTTATCTCAGCCAGTGCTGCAGTCAGCCAGTCATACCATGGCCCCCTTTAATTAATAGCAGTCTTAATGGCACTATTAATGATTGGAGTTCCATCTTTCCATCAAACCAAGCTGACCTTCCCTCTCAGCTAGACACCTAAGGATGAGTGAGCAGAGCCCCAAGCATCTCTTCTGCGGACAGAGTGGGAGCCCCCTGTGTGAACACAGTGATAGATGCCATGATGCCCAAGCAGGTGGTGGGACACAACATGCCCACAGAGCCAGGTTCATCCCTGCATCCCAGTCACCAGGCTGGCACGTGCAGCTGTGCATTGCCCCCTGCGGGAGCGCAGTCCCCCTGCAAGCTGAGCCTGTCTGTGCTCCCTCTGCCTCAGCTCCAGGCATGGAACAGGCTTTTCCTGCTCTGTTTCTGCCCCAGAGATCGCAAAGAGTGTTTTCACAGTGTTCTGAATCAAAAAAATCTGGTTTGAGCGGGGGGAGAAGCAGCGTCCTCACCCCATAGGGGTATCTTCAGCGATGGTTGAGAATTAAATTCCTTTTCACCCCACATGGGCATCGTCTGCAGAGAGGCTGGAACCTTTACCCATCCTACTGCTTTAGTGCACTGGAATGGGAGCATAAAATCTATCTGTCATGTCTTCTGCTTGCAAAACACACCAGGACTTTGGCAGCCTGCAAGGCCAGCTCTACTCACCCCATCCTTCCCCATGTACCCCAGTGAGGGGTCCTGGTCTGGCCTCTTACCCTATCCCCCTCCCCCCACTCTACTACCAACCAGCCAGCCAGGTTTGCAAACACTTGCTTGGATGCAGAACTGGGTGCAATTTCAGGCCTTTCCCCTCTCACAGAGTGTCTAAAGCTATGATTAAGAGCTAATTTACAACTAGGCAGCCATCCCTGGACAAGGACTGCAGGACTTGGGGAGGCAGCTATTAAAGGCAGTAAAGTCCAATGAGAAAATCATCTGTATCAATGAAAGGGGCAGTCGATCATGGTGGAGGTTTCTATTTGGCACCCCCACTGATGTGCTGCACTGCCCACCAGTGCAAAGCCATCCTTTGGGGCAAGGTTACTCATGAGGATAAGGCTATGTTGCTGCTTAAATAAGAGGTATTTTGATGGTTTGGCTCTTAAAGAAGCGTGAATGATGGCATCCTGGACCCCACCACCATTTTCCTCCCAGCTGCTTGATCCATGCAAGTAGAGCTGTTAGCATTAAAAACATCCAGCCATTGATTGTTTGCATATTTTCAACTGAGCTGTTTCCTTCATCCTCATTAATTGGGATGGGGCAGCCTTGGTTCCCACCCTGGAGGAGGCACAGCTCCCTCCTCTCCTGCAGGGTTTCAGTGGGATGGAAGGAGGTGGCACATGGCCAGCTGTGCCAGAGGGAGCAGAGGAAAAGGCTACCTGGGTGCCAGCAAGGCAGCTTGCAGCCCAGGCAAAGCTTCCCACTCTTCCCGCACGTTCTGCAACATCCCAAGCTGAATCACTTCACAGAATTTACTTTTGCCCTGTTAAATGCCACTAAACCTGCAAATTAATCCTCCCATTACAGGACTTCCTTTGATGTCAAAGGGGGAATTTTTTTTTGATGGCAAAGGGGGATTTTCCCCCCCGGTATAATTATTCCTATTTTTCTTCCCCCTTTTTTAGGCACAAGAGATTCCTGCCAGATGCATGACTTGTGGAGGCAGCTCCCACACAAGGTATTTATATATTTATATGTATATGATGGCAACGTGGTATTGAAAGACCTAAAGTCTCAGGCAGAAGATAAAGGGGAATTTCCCATTTCCTACTTGTTACAGTGGAAGTTGCCCAGGAAGAGTCTGCAGCAGGACTAGGACCAAAAGCTGTGAGATACAGCACTGGAAAGTAGTTCCTTAAGATAAGCATGTCCAGGGAAAAATCTGCTGTTTAACACTATCCCTGAGCAAGTTTCAATGCCTGGGAATGATCCCTGGCACTGCTTAAATTATAGAGATGGGTAAAGCAGATCCATTCCAGTTTTGCATATATTTCCCATCAAGCATCTTGGGTGCTGCGGGATTGCTGGGCTGAATATCCCAATGGAGCCAGAATCACTGGATAATACCCAAGAAACAGGTGACTGTGGGTAGTGCTAAGGGAGCTTTCTGTACCAGGCAGAAATGACAGAACAGGGAGGTTTACTCAAAGTTTCAATCAGTTTTATGAATTATTAGGAAAAAGGGGATACAACTGCAGAGCACTTTACTGAAAATGTTATGACCATATAATTCAATGGGGAAGTGCATTCTTGTTAACAAATCATTGCATGGAGACTCCCAGCATAACACAGAGCTCTCCTGGGAATGGAGAATGAGCCCTGGGTGGCACTGACCACCCATGCCCAGTAGCTCAGGTCGGGGTGACTACCTGCTCAGTGATGCTTCATTTCCCCAGGGGTGCCAACTGACCCCCCTGTGCCTCTTGCTGCTGTGCTGCTGCTTCAATCTGTCCCCGGAGCACCTGTGCCCAGTCCTGGCCCCGCTCCAGGGGAGTGGACCTGGTCTCCATTGCTGTTAGGACAGTGAGTTCAGGGGGGAGCTGGAGAACCATGTCAGCTCGGAGCAGAGCATCCTGAAATTTGGCTGCAGAGGCTGGAGCTAAACAACACCTGGGAATGCTGGAAAGGAAAGAAAAGCAATGTAAGGGCGTAAGTACTTGGATGTAAGTAAGCCCTGAGCTGGAGATGCTGCAAGAGTAAGGGGATAGTGATGCTCCATTCCCCAACACTGCCAAGCACAGCTCTCCTTACCTGTCTGGCTGTGAGTAGTGGTAGTGAGCAGCCACAGCAGAGTGGGGGCACAGCAGGTATTGGTTTTCCAACCAGCAGCGCTGTATGGCTCGCACAATGTCCTCGTCGGAGACTGAGCATGATCGCAGGGTCTCGGAGAGCTGTGGAAAACAGGGAGGTTTGCACAGGACATCACCACCCCACACATTCCCAGCCTGGTTTGTGCCACAGACACTCAGCAATGCAGTTGGAAATAGGGAAGGCTGGAGGATGGGATTCCCCAGGGGCTGAAGGAAAAGGGGTTGCTGCTGCAGCTGGGGGATGAGGCACTGCTGGAAACAACCCTGCTGGAGGGTCAGCAAGGGGTTACCAACCACAGGTACTCCAAGCATGGGGAGAGAGGAGCCAAGGCAGTTTCTCAGCTCTGTGCTGCTACTTCCATGCTCTGAAGGAGTTTCTGAGGACTTGTAAAACTCATCTCAGTGTAACATCTCTTCTTGCTTTTACTAATACAATTATTTAGGAGGCACTGCTGGAAACAACCCTGCTGGAGGGTCAGCAAGGGGTTACCAACCACAGGTACTCCAAGCATGGGGAGAGAGGAGCCAAGGCAGTTTCTCAGCTCTGTGCTGCTACTTCCATGCTCTGAAGGAGTTTCTGAGGACTTGTAAAACTCATCTCAGTGTAACATCTCTTCTTGCTTTTACTAATACAATTATTTAGTATTTATCTTTCTGCAAGCAGGATGGAATGGGCACCAGGCAAAGGATGCTCAGTGAGGGACAGTGCATGGGAAGCTGGATGGGAAGAGGCAGGACTTCACATCTGGTCCTCTTTGATTTTCTCTTGTATCTCTGTTTTGTGTTTGTACTCCCATTTGCCATAACACCAAGGCTGAATTACAGCATGAAACTCATAAGACTCCCAAACACTCAATTTGTGCTGGCACCCACTGCATGACACCTCAGTGCATGGCCAAGGATGGGGTGGTTTCATATCCTACCTAAATAACTGTAGGCATTTTTAATTAGTTTTTGCAAAAAAGAAAGAGGTTTCTCTTAAAAAGCATAATTTAAAAGGCTTTTTAACATCTCCTTGCACATACATTGATATCAAACTTCTGTTCTGGCCTCACACTTAATTTTGTGGTGGGAAACTCTCCACTATGATTTTTTTATTCTGAAAATGAGTTGAAAATCCCTTGCAGCAATAATTCTCCATAGACATATATATACACAGTGTTGTGTGCATGAGGAACTGACGTTTCTATGCAAATCCTCTGGCAGTTTTATCCTTTTCGATACACTGAATTGTTCCATCAGCATTTTTATCAGGCGGCTGTCGGAGCCTGAGAGCAGCCACAGGATCCTCTCCACATTGTAAGGCTCCTGGAATAACAAGACAATAGGTGAGCAGAGGAAATTCAAGCATCTGTCTTAGGGGGAGAGTATCTATGCTGGATTCTCTGATGTCTCATCAGGGTTGAGGTCCTACCGCTGTGTTTTTCTTGGTGGAAACTGGAGTGGGCTTTGGGTCTTCCCTTTACTCACCTACAGCCCAAGACAAAATTTGGCAACATGATGTCTTTCAGACCTCTGACCTGTCAGAGCAGTCTGGCAGTGACCATCAGATTAAAAGAGAAAATGAAGAGATGACTGATGAATCAACAGTGTGACCACATCTGTACCATCACCTTGAGGAACCCAGGCTAATAACAGACTATGTTCTGGAGAACCAGAACTATCCAGCTGTTTACTCAGGGCTGCAGATGCTGCTGTGAATCACCCAGCTCCTGCATGACTTAATGAGACACCCAGCTTGCTGCAGGGCTGGCAGATAAGCTTTGTAAACTTACAGGGCACATATAGGGCCTGACCGGCCTGTATGGCTGTGTAGCAACCAGTGTTGCAACACTGCAGCAGAACTCTGTGCAAGACCATACAGGAGAGTCCCAAACCAATTTCTCCTCTCCCTGTCTCATTCCTGCATGCTTACAATCACCAAGAAACATTCATCCAGGTGGTTTAGCAGAGATAGAGGGACAGATAGGACAAAGTGCACCAGTTTACAGAGTCCTCATCATATCTCCTGATTTCAAGTGCTGGCTTTGGATGAAGTCTTCATAGCTTTTAGCAGCTGACAGTGCCTGTGACCTTTTGCCTCTCCATTCTGTCCTACATTGGCAAGTGATGAGCACTTACTCAGCTTTTTGTGTCCTTATCTGGGTGGCTTATGACCCCAGTTCTGTTCTTCATCTTCCCACCATCATCTCCCAGAGCCTGCAGCCTCTAATCTTTAGTCTGGTCTGGGTGTAGCCTGCCCTGTGCTTTAGGCTGTCCCCTGGTTTAGGCTGTCCTCTGCTTCCCAACCTGTCAGCATGCCTGGACTTCAACGACCTGCTCCTAGAGGTCTCTCCAGCACCTTCCTGCTAACACCCCTTCTCCTGTCCTTTCTTCTGCTGTTCCTATATCCAGACCTTCTCCTTCAAGCCCCATTCATACCAGCCTTATGGTTTCCACTACAGATCACTACACTGACACATAAAAGTCGAACTGGGCCAGGACACTAGTGAAAGAACTGGCCTTGCTTGTAAGTTATTAGCCAGCTCTCTGGTTTGCTTTGGTCTTGTGCCAGTAGAATTGTCCAGGAGAATGCTGGGGACCAGTTTGGAGGACAGGTCATGCTGGGGACTGTTCCCAGTGAAAGTTCTGACATGTGGACACAAGCTGCATGGTGCTTCCTCACCTCAGAACAGTCCCTGGTTGGCTTTAGGTGCTGCAAAGACACAGATTCTGCTGTCATTCTCCTGGGATTGCTCCTTACAAGGCTCATCTACACTAGACTTTCTGCTTCCCCTTCAACTCTTTAGGCAGTGTCTAACAGGAAAGTTTTGTCTGCTTTAGCTTAGTCTGCAGAAGAGCCAACCTAAAGAGGCTGTGCACTCTCCATTCTTGAAGGTTTCCAACATCTCAATGGACAAAGCCTGGAGCAACTTGGTCTGACCTCAGGACTGACCCTGCTTTGAGAATGTCCCAACTAGAAAACCTCTGAATTCTCCTCCAGAATGAATGATCTGTTAAGCTGTGGAAATATTCACATGGATGCTTCATATATGAGCTGAACAATGATGTCTCATGCAGCTGTGGAGAGAGTTGTTCAGAGGGATACATCCATCCAGCTCCTCAGGAATCTCAGGATATCACCTTGCCTGGCTGCCTTGCCCCCATGAACCCAAAGTCTGGCACGTGCTTAGGTGCCTCAGCAGACCAGTGCTATCAAAGGGACATGGGCCCAGAGAGGAGCCCAGCTACCTCTTGAGCTCTGAAGAGCCCCACAGATTCATGACTTGGGATGAAAACCAAGCTGCAGAGCACAGCCTGGTGATAGGGGCATAGGGAATTTCTGACTGCAAAGCATGGCAGTTCCTCCAGGCTCCCAGGTCCTCCCAATGTGTTTGAACAGTTTTTGGAAAATCCAGGTAGCTTAAGGCCACAGTGATACAACACCAAGGGTTTCCCACTTTGATCACTTGTTTGGAAGCAGATCCAATCCCTTGGGATCACAGGCTAGAAATGAAACGTGAGGTATTTGCTTCCAGGTGTTTGGTTTCTGTACCTCCATGACTTTTCTTTCTGAGGCCTCTGCCTGCCTGCTGAGACTTGTTTTGCTTTGAGCAAGCTGCAGACAGCCATAAACGAGGCATTTCTTCTGGGCTTCCCTACCTTCTTCCTGGTCTCTTCTCTTGCTCTTAGTGGAGCCTTCCAGAAGCATCAACTAAACCCTTGAGACATGATGGCATTTATAGCTCTCTAGTTATCACATTTTGTGAAAATATCCCTTTCTTATTAACCTTGCACAGAACAAAACCCCAGCAACCCAGCATTTAACAATGAAGATCACAAAGTCAAGCCCTGAAAATTGAGGAAGAAGGTGTTTGATCTATCTCAGCTCAGCAGTTTGTAGTGTAAATGGTCATTATGAGCCACATCTCCTAATGCATCACTGCAAGGCATTGCCAGTGCCAGAATTAGATGAGAGTGCAAGAAAAAAATACAGTATTTGCTATTTTCCCATTTTGGCCAATTCACTACATACCTGAATATCCATGGCTGATGCTAATGTAGTCTTCACGCTCTCTGACAGTGAGTAATCTCCATGTTGAACAGCCCTATGAATGATGTCATTGCTGTTCACCACGGCAACAAGGCGAATTGGAAGACCCATTTTCTGGGCAATACAGCCAGCTAGGAAAAAAAAGTGAAAAATTACATGTGTGCTTGATGAAGAAATATTCAAAGGCGATTAAGCAGAGTAGTCATCATACAAACTGATTATCTAGTTCAGAAGCAGATACAAATGATATTCCCTAATGGACCCTGAGATATGTCTTCAGTGGTTTGGTAGAGCACCAGATTATAAAATCCAGGAATGCAGTGCTCCATCTGCCACTGAACACTGACCCTTGGACATCTCCACATTTGATGATGAGCAGGGGACTGAGAAATCAGGCAGATGCTGTGCAAGCAAGAGAGATGAAGATGTTGGACTGTTGCAGCTTATTAATGCTGTTTCAGATGGGCAGCCTGGAAGTGCAGTCAATATATCAAATCCTTTATTGCTTTCATAAGACAGTTCTATGTCGATTATGGGACTGAGGCAATCAAGTACTCTCATTTAGAAGGTCAGACTATGCAATTAAGAGTGGTTCTCTTGACTGCACACTACCATGTAAACCAGAGTAGGACCAGACAGCACTTCACATACCAAGTGTTAATGTCTCACTTAGAAAATCAGTGCCACAGTACTTTCCCTCTTTTCTGCATCAAACACATTCTGTCCTCTCCTAATGTGCCCATCCTCAAGATAGTTACAGTCAGCATCAAAGGGTGGTTTGGGTTTTTCTGCACCTTGCAAATCATCAGTGACAGCTAAATTGAGTAATAACCATACATGAGTAATAAAATATAAGTGGTTCTGAAGAAATCCTACCAGAGAGTGGGTGTTTTAATAAATAGCAATACCCAGTATCTGCAAAGTGCTTTTGGTCCAGAGATCACAGCATTCTCTCTGTTCCTTATCTAACCTATCTTTTTACCCTTTACCTGTGATATTTCCTCCTCCTCCTGTTGGCACAACAATTTCCACCACTGGCAGCGGAGTGGTATCCAGGCATGGGGTGCACTGAAAGTAAGCATAGAAGTAGTGAGCAATCTGCACCATAATCCTAGACCAGTTGACAGAATTCAAACTCATCAGATTGTATTTTCTGGCAAAATTGACATCAGCGAACAGTTCTTTAATTGGCTCATCGATTTCATCACTGTTCCCATGAGCTGTCAAAAGGAAAAAGGAAAGATTAGACTTGCCAACAGCAGCACATCAGGCACAAGATATTTCTGCTCAGAAATAGTATTGGTCTCGAGCCCTGGGTTTGCTGTGGCCAGGGGTTTCCCAAACTGCCTCAGGGGCTGCACAAACCAGGGTCTGAACAGACTATGGGATGCTGGGTGGTTTCTACACACTTGGCACTTGGGCCTCTTCTTTACACCAAATATATATTTGCCAGGAAGGCAAATGCCTGCACCCCCTTATGAGATGCCAAGGTGAGACCTGGCTGAGCAGAGGAGACTGTGGGAACTCAAGCAGCTCAAGCACCCAGTGGTGATGCCTACCCATAAGGATAGCGTGGTGTTAGGGGATGTATCACCCATCAAAACAAGAGGACAGAGGGGAGAAGTGACTCCAAATCCTTTCAGTGCCAAGAAAGGGTGCTGAATTCAGTGCAGCTAAACACCAACTGTCTGCATGGAGGCAGCTCTGATCTGTGGCTAGGAGAAAATGAAGCCTTGAACCCCCTGGTCATCACCTGTGGACATTGTCTCCTATTAGTCAGATGTCTGCGCATGGTGACTATGATGGCAATGACCCTACCAGCTGCAGTTGCTACAGCTGTCAATCCCACCAAGCAGCCCCCAAGACTTTAGGATCATAGGTTTGACACAACAGGGCCATAAAGTGGACAGTACAACATCAATGCCAACCAGCAAATACGTGGACATTCTTTTCAATAACGGTGGTCATCTGAAGTTCCTGTATCTGTGTGCAGAACCCCTTGGGCAACAAAACAAAGATGTCCATGTTCTTCTGCCCTCTCACACTCTCGATGGCTGAGCTCCCTGTGTCCCCTGAAGTCCCTGTTTCAAAGTGAGGAAGAACCAAGAAAAGCAAAAAATTGATGCATCAATCAAACCTGCACTGCTGTGCTTTGAGAAAAATACATAGAGATGCCCCATGTGATGTTTTTGGCTATAGCAGCCACCCTGCCATTGCTCAGGGATCACTCACCAGCCACCCTTGAGGCAATACCACCTTGGGGCACCTATAGGGAGGGCCATGGGATGATGGCTCTCAAGGTAAAGGCCTGCCCAGAAGTGTTACCCCCACAAGAAGGCACACTCACCCACCAGAATAGTGACATGCTTCTGCTTCTTCTCCAAGAAGTACTGTAAAAACTGCCCTGTGCAGGACAGAGACAGATCCTTAAATGCGAAAGTGACCCCATGATAGAGCTCCAAAACATTCAGCCCATCTTTCAGCCTGGACATATGGACGACATCCTTGTGTCTGAATCTGCTGAAGGCCCTGTCGATCAGGTCTAGAAGGAAAACGGTTAAAGGGGCTGTCAGATCAGAGCAAACTGTGTTAAAATATAAAACACTGGCAACTCAAGTTTTATCATGATGTGCTGTTGAGACAGAGGTTACAGCTGCCCTCTGCTGGAAGTGACAGCTCTCAAATGTTGTAAAACATTAAAAATCTGATCTCAAGGAAAGTGTGGAGCAACAGGAAGCCCTGAAGGGAGCACTAGCAGCAAGTGGGACCACGACATCAGCCTACTGTAGCCACCAGAATCCCTATTTAAACACAGGGGACACCTTTTCCAGAAGGTAACAAGTCCCGGCAAGGTGGCAGAGAAGAATGGGATACAGAAAGAAGGAGGCATCCTCTGGGGACTGTGAAGAGGATCGGGTGAAGGCAGGCAGGTGCATCTGAACCCCCTAAAATCCTCCAGCACATCCGTGTGAGCAGCTTCCCATATGGCCGAGGCTCACCATTGAGTGTGTTCCGTGGGACCAGCTCAGCCGTGATGAAGAGGGAGCACAGCTCCTTAACCAGCTCAGGGTAGGAGAAGCTGCTCCACCGCTGCAGGGTGTCCCTGTCCAGCGAGGGGATGTGCTGGGGCATGAAGAGGCCTCCGTCGGGTGCGTAGCCTGAGAAGAGAGCTCCCTCGAAGTCAACAGCCTCTGCACCTCCACGCGTGCTGACATACTCCATGGCTCCTAGGGAGGCACCGCAGTCACTGCCAGGGACCCCGAGCATCCCACCACTGGGAACAGCCCCATATCCCAAACTGACTACCTAAAAAACCTTCCCTAGGGACAGACATTGCTCCTCAGGGGACAAACCACCTCCTCCCAGAAAAACAGTCACAGGGAGCTTGAGCAGCCAGGGCCAGTGGAAGGCATGGGAACAGCCTCTCATCCCAAACTGACTTCCTAAAGACCTCCCCTAAGGACAGATAGGGCTTCTCAGGAAATAAAC